CAATCACAGGAAAATACTTGGTATCTGCTGCTCTTTGACAGTTACTAATACAAATGCATGACTGTGCTGACTCGACATGGTGGGAACTGCATTTACAAACATAGGAATGACGGATGATGACTCCAAAGGAAGCCGGCCCCGGTTCATCTGGCGACCAGTCACTGACCTGCTCTAACAGCTGGAGGTGTTAGCTTCTTTGGAAAGGTTTTCTCATTCATACTCAACTCAGTTTACTGCTCTAATGGTGTATTTGGCTATGGCGAATAGAGGAAATTATACAAAGTTATCTGGAGGAAGGATAACCGCCTCACCGCAAAAGGACGACTCCTTGTTTATATGTGACTGCCAAAAGGAAAAGGGTGTCAAGGGGCTAAATGCCAGATATAGAAATCTGAGATAAGGCCTTAACTCAGAATGCAGGCAGCGGATCAAGTAATGTTTGACTTCCTGTTGCATATGGAGCCCAAAAATAAAAATAGGGATAGGATAACTTTAGGAAGTCGAAATCCAACAATATGTATACAAATCACCCCAGTGGTGCCGTGTAAATGTTGTCACTTTACAACACAATACTGACTTTGCGTGACTTTTTTAATGGCATTCTTAAGTGTCACTTCAGCTCAGTATGAAATTTTTCATTGTGAGTGTGCAACGTTATATTTCTCCACCCTGTGCCTCATTAATTGTCAAATGACAGCTGGGATCCAACAGATGTTCCCTTTAAAGCAGTGCCTGAGCACCCCAGTGCTCATACAGGGACTTTGCTAAATGTTGCAGATAATTACTCAAGATGTTATGCATTCAAGTGCCAACGGACCTTAATGAAATATAGTCTGAAACGAAACCCTGAATACTCTGACTTGCAGGTAAAGCAGATTCTTTTAGTTATGAAAATGTTTGTAAGTGTTAATATGGTGTTTATGGTTATTTGTCTAAAGCAGGTGTCTAGACAGATTTAATCCTATTCTTAAAAGAGAAGGCTGATGATATTCAAAAATTTTTTTTTATTGCCGACAATGTCTACGCCGACAAGCCCGTTCGTTCCAAATGAAGACGTAAAACTTCATCTCTTAAAGCTATTCGTAATTTTTATGATAACTTTTTGCCATATTTGCTGAAACTGTCTCTACATTCATAGAGTATTATATGAGACAGATAGTCTGTGAAAAAAAATCATGTCCCTCCTTCTTCTACTGCCTTTAAAAGCATTCACGAATCTTCAAAAACACGCCAAAAACAACCAGTCAGAGACGAGGAGTCTCTAACGCAGCTGTCAATCATGTGACTCACTGCTCGTGAACTGCGGTCAAACTGTCAAACTAGATATGAATATGAATCAAGATTCTTTTCCTGTATTGCTGATTTCTTGCTTCAACTGTTTTCAGAAACAGAATCTTGGTTCATATTTGATAAGTGCTGACTAAGTTTGACAGTTTGACCATAGTTCACAAGCAGTGATTGACATGAATGGCAACTGTGTTAGGCTCCACACCTCTAATCTATCTAATTCACACTGACAATGCTAAGATGCCGATGTTTTACATTTAAAATGCTAACCATGTGCATCATCTTAGTTTAGTGTACTAGCATGCTAACGTCTGCTACTTAGCACAAAACACAGAGTACACTTCATCCTGAAGGGTGCATGACACTTTATACTGCATTCAAAACTATAAATTTCATCCTCATTGTTGGTTTTGGTCTTTTCATGATCTGTTAACCATTGACCATTGGTTTTTGTGCACAAACATGTTTCCTAATCTACACATAAAAATCAGTGAGGCAACCAATCAATCAGTTGGTTGACTGGTATGAAATTAAAGCTTTTTAAAGTACATTATGTAAGATTCACGTAATGCCTTAATTTGTTCACAATTTAGGTGCTTTCACACACGTAGTTTGGTTCATTTGGCCTGGGCCAAGAGGAAAAAAATATATATTGTCGTATTTTAGTTGTGGTTCAATTCCTGTTTAAACTGGCTTTTTACAATTCAAGAGAAGTAAACATGAAGTTATACAGACAGACAGGTAACTCAATGATAGGACAGTTTTGGCGATTGTCATCCTGCATCATCAGGACCCACGTGAGGAAATCAAATTCTGGCGACTGACAGAAGTTGATGTAGCAATTAAATACTTATGGTATATATATTTATGTTTCTTAGTGTCACAAACAGCTCTCGAAGAAATAACTAATTATAAGCATTATTAGTATTATTAGAGTGCAAGTTGCCTGTGTGTAATTCAGGGCTCATTGTGGGACCACTGTCACACACTTTTTAACAGGCGTAATGACCTGACAAAGTAACCTACAAAGAGTCAGATACAAGCACCTTAATCAGGTAAAATACCTGTGCTGACCTGTGTGTGTGTTACCATGGTCATCAAATGTATAAATAGGTGTTACAAATCAATTGTAAGATAGTAGACATATTTGATGACCAGCGATGGATTTAGTAGTAGTTTAGCTTTTGATATCATGTTAAAATCACATATCTGCTATCACAAAATCCTGCAGTTGATTCATTTATTTTCACAGCACAAACAAACTGCACCATAGTTTGCTTGGAAGCGGCTGTTTGGTACTTGGTCCATACTAGGGTTTGACTGACAGCTTTCACATCAGCCCAAACAAACTGTACAATGTGATAGAACGCTCCAGGGTTTGGTTGAAACAGACCAAACAGCTCAAGTGTGAAAGCATCCTTACAATCTTGTTATCTAAGTATCCATTGCCTAATACAATACACTGATTATAATACAGATAAAAAGATAATACATAGATAAAAACAGCAGAAGGACAGAAGGATAGAATTTCTACTCTCGTCACACTAGGGTTTGATCTGCCAAAAACTGACGCCTTTTAGTAATAAAGATTTCCTTGAGTGAATATTTAGTCTACCCTCTCTGAACGCCTCTCTGTTTCTGCCTGAGGTGATAAGGTTCGTTCTGCCTCCTGAGCGAAGTTGGCTGGACTTCGACAGTAAAGAGCAAGTTACCTCCATTAGCAAGAATAAGCCATTAGAACACAAGGTCAGGGTCTGTCCCGTCTAGACACATTCAAATTTTACAGTTTGATACAGAGTTTCATGAGAAGGCCAGGGCCAACTATTAACACCTTCCCAACACTGAGTCAGTAGCTTACAGTGTTTGCTTTACTGGCAGCAAGAATCTCTTTTTTTTCTATGTCGCCATATGGCATAAAGAAGCTAATTACACCAAGGAATGTGTTAGATTCATAAATCTTTATGACGTGACAAAATGCAATAAGAGTGAGGATATTTCTAGAAATTGTTAATCATTATTAAGGAGCATATTTGACCTTATCCTGCAAACACAGCTTGTCCTCACTTAGTTTTTCTGGACGGAAACTTTCCCTCTACACCTTCTTTGGTGATATACAGCTCTGTGACACTGTATCAATAGCTCAGGTCAGAGTTTAAGCACAAAAAAGCCTGTATGATGGATGGGAATCACGTGTGTGGCCCAACAAGAACAGATCTCAAATGAGTGAGCTGTCAGGGTTAGGGAGGGTTCATTCCTGCTTTGACCACCTGAAACTGTATTTATTAATGGCACTTTGTCTCAACTGTTCAACCCTGTCATCACAGGCACTTCTCAGGCCAAGAAATAAGACCACATCATCCCTATCCTTGCATTCTGACAGTGGCTCCCAGTTCATTTCAAAATTAACTTCAAAGTCCCTCAAACTGTGCACAAATCCCTCTGTCGTCTCGCCCCTTCAGATATGTCTGAACTTCTCACCCCTTACACCACCACCAGACCCGTAAGATCCACCCACTGGGTTGGCTGTGCCTTGTTTGTGGAAAAAAAAGGCTGGGGACAGGGCTTTTTCTGCAGCAGCTCCTCGGCTCTGGATTAGCCTGCCGGAGGCCTGAGTCTGTTGATGCTTTTAAGATACACCTTCAGACCCATTTTTATTCTCTCTAACCTGTTTTGCTTTTTTAAGTGCTATATAAATGAAATGTACTTGAAACTTGAAATTGTCTCCAAACAATTATGTTTTTAGACTTCGCACTTACAAAGGCAAATGTGTTTGAAAGTGCAAAGTCACCAAATGTTCATACAACATATCTGTAAAAGTTTACTGATAGAAATTTTAATTTGTCTCCCCTAAAATATCCACTAAATATTCCCTCTGATATATGTTACCACATTCTGGGGCTATGGTGGCTACAGGAATAGCCATAAAAACCAAAAGAACTGTGATTGGTGAGTTTGGGCTGCTTCTGTTTTCTATGATGCCAATAGAGGTTAGGTGTTAGGAATGAAGGCAACATGAAGCTTAGAAAAAGGAAGTTAAAAAAAAAAAAATCATTTTCTCAGTAACAAACATCCAGTAAAACTATTTATACTTCATACCTTCTGTTTGCCGTGATTGTCACTTTATCACAGTAAATGAAACTATGTAAATTTGGCAGCAGCACAGAGAAACAAGACAGACCAGCCCAACCATTGTTCATATCACATAAGTAATGAAAGACAGTTACTATGAGGAATATAATTAAAGCATTACTAAAGCTAGTGTTGCAGGATCGCCATAAACGGGAGAAATTTATCAGTACTGGAATCTACAGGACTTCCTTTATCCCCTTGTATCAATTATAAATCCATCTTTAGGCTCTTGCAGCACTTGGTTAAGGTTAGGGAAGAGGATGGTCTTGTTTAATACTAAATAACTGGCATTGCCTACATACAAACATATGTGGCAAACCCACTGGTGTATATGTTTTTCAATACCGAAAGTTTAAAGGGGCTGACTGTGGCTTTATTAGTCGGTGCATTTTCTAAAAACATACAAGCGTGTTCTTGTATGTCTTTCAACAGGTTTGCATGCACCAAAAACTGAAATCAGTCAAACCTTTCTGCACCTTCTTTGTTAATTCTTGACCTGTTGGTTGCTTTGATTTCAAAACACACAACAAACATCACCACCTTTAAAGCTTTGAACCATAAAGGCTGCAGTGTACTGTACTCACAGTTGAAGTCAGAGGCGATGGAGTTCCCGGCCAGAAGGCTGTTGACGGTAATCTGATAGATGATGTGGAGCAGCAGGAAGGACATACTGGTGAAGCAGAGGGACTGCAGCAGACGCCCTGTGTGGCCTGGAGAAGAGCAGCTACAGTGAGTTCACCAACACCACCACCACTGAGGTTAAGGATTTCCACATGTTATTTCTTCCGTTCATGCACTAAAACACCAGAAAAGGTCTCTTTGCTTTGCTTTGTGTCTTTTTTTAAGGCACAGAGAACTTTGTCTGAAAGGATTGAAACATTAATCCTTTTTGAGTTGTGCAACATTAAAAAGTACCTGATATTTCTGAATTCTCACAGTGCTTTCAGGGCTGAGCAAGGAGAACAACGATCCATATTCATGTGATCAGCTGGGAAGGCTGAAGCTGTTTTGAATGAATTAGTAAAAAAAAGGTGAAGGTGACTGGGAGAGCACCCAAGGGGGATTTTCTATGGATCATAATACATATCCTGGTTAAGAGCTGGCAACACTAGCACACAGCAAAGCTTATTTCTGTTGAAAAGTCAAATAAACATTCTGGTGGACCACAAAACCTCTAATTCTCTCTAATTCATTCTAGAAAGAGCAAAATCTGCTTTTATACCTGATTTGATTCTTTGGTTTCTTGGCTTTTGTGGCTGTTCGTGTGCGCAAGAAATGCCTTGGCTGTCCACAACGATGAGGGCAGCGTACACGTGGGTGTTAACTGACCTGGTGTCTTTTTTTAATGTAGGTAAAGAATACAGCTGTCAGTGGACATTACTGATCCTGGGAGGGAAGGATGAGAGCAGTCTGAGGAGCGGCCACAGCTGCTCAACACATGGCTGTTTTATAGAGCACCTACAGGTATTTGGGATAATTTCAGGAGTTGTTATGGTGATAATTCTCTACAGTAGGATTTCTCAGACCCTCTCTTATTGCAAAAATAGAAATGTTTATTCTCAGGGAATAACAACTTTGATGGGACTCTTCTTTGTTGATGAAGAATTGACAGTAAAGCTTCTTATAAACCGATAAAGGTTCAACTGTCCTACATATCTGCACGGTCTGGTCCACTGGTTATTAACAGGGAAACTTCTCGATCTCATTAAATTTACTGCATCCTTGCAGGGAACACATAACAGTTTTACTATAGTGTATTGCACAATATCCTGGCTAAGGTAAAGCGCTACTGCTGAACCTCAGGCCATTGAGGGCTAACCTTATCAAATGTGTGCAACAACAGTCCATGGCAGGCAAATTAAATGTTGAAGTGAAAGCAATTTGTGCTAATTTCCCATTGTAACTCCCTGGGCTTTCACAAAGTGGGAAAAGAATGCTTGTAAATAAAAATAGGTATGAGGACTGTTTCCGAGCTTCTCCATCCAAATTGGTCCAAAAATCTCTGGACAACACAACCACTTTGGCTCATTGGCCTCCCTCCCCCTCTTTTTTATTTGTAATGCAGCAATTTTTGTTGTGTGACCACCATCTGTATCGGTTGCCTGACACTCATCTTGAATTAATATTTTGCATTACTTCATTATTTAGTCCCAAAGCGTTGTCCCAAGAGTGCTTTTTAAAGGTTTCCAAAGAAGAGAGCATTGTTCAGTTTCAACAGTTACTGCTTTTTCCCCTAATCAATCATAGAATCGTGTCCATCTGACAACATTCAGACCTGATTTAATCACATGGTGCTGCCAAATCACAGTGTCAGACTGGGCCAATTAAATGTTTTCAGTGCAATCACTAGATCCTTTTGAGACCTCCCTGCCAGCAGTGGTGGAATGTAACTAGGCACATTTACTCAAGTACAGTACTTCATTACATGAGTATTTTATTTTATGCCACTTTATACTTCTCCATTACATTTTGGAGGCCAGTAGAGTACTTTTTTTACTCCACTACATTTATTTGACAACAATAATTAGGCCACTAGTTACTTTTGGTCAACGTATAAATTATGATGTCTTATTATGGAGTAAGCTACCCAGAAATATTAAAAATAGCTAATTAGCTCCACCTTTAGCAACATTAGTGATTGCTTACATATAAATGCTTCATGAATTCTAATCCACTGTCCAGTGATATTATATATATTATTCTGAAAGGGCCATTCTGTATAATGAGTACTTTCATATTTGGTCCTTTGTAGAGAAAATATGTGTATGACTTGCTTGATCTTTTTATCATTATGAAGTAAATGTTGATTGCCCCATGAAATGGCCATAGAATAACAACATCACCAGCATTTAGACTGGTTCCCTACAAGCCTTGATTTTACTATGTAAATTGACCCTTAGCTAGGGTCCACCCTTTTCTAATGGTCTGTCAAGCTGTTGGAGCTATCATGGAGACCACACTGTCAAACTGCAATCCCTGAAGAAATATCATCAAATTTTTAGAGAAAGAGAGAAAAAGTAATTTCAGGGAGAAGCAGGCATTATGCATTTAAAGAGTATATCCAGGAGGCCAAAACAGGTTAAAAAGGTAAATGCTGTCGTGCTAAAGCAGATCACAGTGTTAAAGTAAACCACCAAATCACCTGTCGATCGGGACAGAACACAATGAAAATAAAGGAAGAATTTGCTGATATTCAACAAACTATGTGTCATTGCAGTGTGTGCAGATGAACAGTGTTTGCAGAGCTGCATAACTAAACTAAGCAGCTGCTTACAGCCACATGGTGAACACAGGGCCCCCAGGGTCCCACAAACAGGGCAGCCCGACGCCCACTACTTAAGTTGTGTAAGGTGTATCTGCAAATTAAGCAAGGCCCCACCTCCACCTTGTGTCAAAGCAGGTGTCAATGTTTACAACTTCCATGAGAGGATGAGAGGGAACTATCGTTCTGGTCACTAAAAGTGGAAAAAAGCACTGTGAGAGTGAATTGCAGGAAAAGCAATCAGGTAATCTGTGTTTTCTCATCTCCAAGGTTGATGTCAGCAAATTACAGTAACATTAAGCTGTCTTTCCTGCTAACGTGATTCTCTCAGTCTGTCTGTGTCCTGCTGGTTTGCCAGTCACTCCCAGGCTGTGTTCTGTCATGTTGTGACTGACAAAAGTGAGAGTGAAATACACACATTTACTGCGTTTGATAAACGGCAATGGGCAACAGTGTTTATAAACCGTAGAAGTAAAAGATAACCTCGTTGTGTGTGAGAATGCATAAATGTGCCAAGCCATTGTATAGTTTTATATATGAAAATGTATCAAAGGAAATCTGGGGGAATAGTATTGTTATCTATAATATGCAGGTGCTATGCTTCAATTTGTCAGTGGGGGAGATGATTCAGTAAATCCACATCCAGCCTCAGTCAGCACTAACACAGACCCAGTGCAGCCGTCTTCAACAAATACTATCACTATTAAAATGTTTAAGCCTATGTTTTATCTGTTTCTAGAAATTTGCACCCTTTTTTGGGCAATTTTACATTAACATTTTATTGAAACAGTGCTCCTTCTTGTCATTCTTTCTCATTTGATCACTGTACCAGACTTAACAGAATATTTTTTAGATATTTTAAATGTATGTTCTTTACTATATGGTTGCCTTGTGCATCATGTCTTTTTTCATGCCTTCTTTTTATCATATCCTTTATCAGACAGTGAGATTCAGCCCTCTCAGATTAGAACACAATACTCAGATGCGCATCAAACCTTAACCAGATCAAACAAAGGGCCCTGAGAAGGACCATTCATGGGTTAGGGGGATAAAAGACAAATAATGTAATCACTGATGAAGATAGTGTTGCTGCAAATAGGTCCCACTTTAGTCTTCATATGTTTATTTGTACATTATGAGTGCTTTAACTAATATTTACAATACACATATGTTGGTTTAGTGCCATGAACGTGGCAACCAGTTACTTTCAGGAGTAAAGCAAATCCACTTAGGCCCCCCAAATTCTAGGGCAGGCCCTGGGTGTCTGGCTTCCCCCCATGCCACCAGCACCTGGGCCTCCACCCAGAAGTCCAAGGACAGCCAAACACTGTTCGCACACACTGCAATGACAAACAGCTGGTTGAATATCAGCAAAGTTTTTTTTCTCAAGTGTTCCTGTAAAGCAGGGTAGGTTTTTATTCACTGTTACAATGACTAAAAAGCAAAAGCAGCATTTGTTTATATTCAGCATACCTTCAGTTGCTAGCTAAGCCTACACTTTTCAGGTTTTGATTTAACAAGTATCACTATTACACATCCCCCAGGCACAACATGTAGCACAAAATCCACAAAATTAGCCTGAAAATGAAGCAAATCTGAAACATCTGTATAAGAGTCAATAGAGCACAGCCGTGTAGTTATCAGACCCTTGTTAGAGCTGACTGACTGGCCATTCTGCGTTCGAAGGGCAGAACTTAGCAAAGGGTTAATTCTGTGGGCTGAATTTACGGCACAAAAAAGTGCGTCAACCATTGTGCAACCAAAACAGAAGTAGGATGGCACTTTTTGTTTTACCCCGTAGCTACCGGTAGCTATCCCCAGAAACCAAAGAGTATCAGTTCTTTGCGGTTACTGTCCTCGGTAATGGAAATGGCAGACAGCAGAACAACCAAAGTGACTGTGGAGACCAGTTGATAGGCTCTGAGGAAAATGGAAACCAATCCGACTGCTGTCTTTGCGACAGCAGCACCAACAATAATAGCCTATTACTTGGAACCGCCAAAAAAAGTTCAAAAAAAGTTGAAAAGTCGTCATTGTCTGTATTCGATGCAAATACTTGTGCACTTTTACATAAGTAAGATTATGAATGCAGGACTTTACTTAAAACAGTATATACTCTGGTACTGCTGCTTTTACTCCACTCTTACATATTCTTCTTCTACCACTGCCTGCCAGACAATACAAAGGAGATAACTGCCTCAAGTCCTAAAAAGGTTTGAAGAAGATGGATTTTTTAAAAAGCCAAACTACGAGATGCGTTAAAGCCAGACACCCTCTGTTAGAAGTCTACTACCTAAAACATAAACCTGATAAATCATCCATAACATCAAATATTTATACAAATTCATGCAACAGTACTAAAATACTCCCCAAGGGGAAATTGTCATGTCGGTGCCCATTCAACAAGGCATATAGTACCTACTGTAAAGGCTCTTAAAAAGCCTGCTGCCCATATGAGAGCAACAGTTTAGATTTTGTTCACCTCCACTGAGAATTGAATGCCTTCAAGGGGATGTGGAGCCAAATACTGCAATTACGACATTAGAGAGTAAATCACAAACAACAACAACAAGTTGCATAAGATATTGTTTCTCTCCAGTTAGGACTGGAGTCTTGTACACTGACATGTCCTTGGGCATATTGCGCTGCTGTGGCTTTTTAAAGTAAATTACACCTGATGAATTATTCATGTCTAACATTTGGTTTGAATTAACTTTACAGATTTAACTGCCGCATGTCCTTTTGAGATTCAACAGACAAAATGAAACAGACCATCAAAACAAAGCGCTGAATTTAGGTCAATCCCTCTCCTAACTCCATCTAAAACAATTCAAAAATGTAGTCTCTTTTCTGCACGATCAGATGTGTAATGTTGTGACTTTGTCCTGGACGGTTTTCATGCGTTAATTAAGTGAGCAATTTAAATGCCACATACCATAGCCAGGAGGCAGGAGATAACTGTCAAGTTGTAACTACAGATTCTGATTATCTGCTCAAGATTATATTCCCTACATAATTAAAGCCACAGTGTAGTAATTACTTTAAAACTACTTCTCATCCTAAATGTATACAATCTGAAGTTAAAAGGACAATTGATAATTAAATAGAACACATAAATGCTGGCAGTGCAATCACAATCATCCTCAACCATAACCAGCTGTTATTTAAAAAGTCTATAAAATCATGTGGTGCTTAAAACTAAATCCCTTTTCCCTCAATAATCTGACAAATATTTACTTAAAATAACCTGCAATGATAATAGTTTCCAATCATTTCATAATCAGTCAAAAATAATCCTGTTACTAAGACCCTGCTTGCTCAAACTTCCTCATACCACTTCTCTCTCAGCCAGCAGTTCCCTCCCTGATGACAGACAGCTGAGGCAGACAGATGTCCTGGCAGGTGTTACACTAGAAGAATAACTACTACTTTCTGCACCTGAGGCAACTTACATGTGTGATGTTCTTTTCTTTTGTGTTTTTGCTGCTGTACACGATCATGCTACAGTAAACACAACAATACCTGGTTAAAGGTTATATAAATAAAAGCTGCCAACTTCAGTTCACAGGCATGGCCTCCTCAACAAAGAGCTTCGGTGCTTCAGTGAGATCTTATTGTTTATTTTAGTTTATCAAAAATGAGAACAAGAGTGAATGAGCTTACGATTCAGAGCTTTAAAGAAGTTTTTCACTGCTGGAAATATGGTCTTTTCATAAAGCTACACTGTTATGGAGGAAAAAGATGCAAATACTGGTGCGATACAACTAGAGAAACAGAGGAAAATGGCTGTGGCATTCACTTTTGCTCAAGAGGCACAAAACCTACCTGAATGCACTGTGCTTTACTATATTAATAAATGCTCCCACTGATGGGTGACGTAATGCAAGCTTGGCCATTCTGCTACAGAAAACAATATGGCAGCCAACTGGAAACAAAGTATCTCAAATTAAAGTTAAATGGTGAGCTAATATCTGTACCGGAAACACTGAAATAGTTTTACAGTCTGACCTCAGTATTTTCAGCCACCATTTTTACAGTACAGGAAACAGTATGTCACCTGCTCTTGTTCACAGATTCTCATGTTACAGCCAAACAATTCACTAAACTATGTTTCTGACAACATTTTAGGCAAGAAACAGGCAAGACAGTAACAGAATCTTGGTTCAAATTTGATTTAAATCTCCCTTGTTTTACAGTTTGGGGTTGGGTCTCTCCTTGAACCACAGATTGTAGCAACAGCCCTAGAGCCAGCGAAAATACGCAAGATGATGCAATACACTCAATCAGCGGATTTAAGCTGTGAGATGAGTAGGGAGATCTGAGTGCTGGTAAGATGGAGCAAAGTTTACCATAATTCCTTTATACATACTACCCACACTGTTAGGATACAAAGCTGGTTGAAATTTGGCAAAGTACCCCTTTAAGAAGTTGTTCTACTGTGAGGTGGGACAGTGTTGTACTATTTTGATTACCTTTAGATGACCATATTCTTCAAACATTTGAAAGCTTGTGTAGACTGGCTCTTTTAGTTTGGAAATATAAAAACATAACGCCTAGTGAATTATTTTTAATCATACAACAGCCTTTAATAAATAGCATTCAAATGTTGCTTTATGTCTGCTGATTTCATTTTGAAACTTGCGCCACCTGTTCTGCCAGGACACATCTGTTTGGGGAAAATCTCAACTGGCAGAATGCATTCATGCATGCATTCTCAACTCTAAATGTAAACTTCAGTGAACTGGTTCCTCTCAGCTGCTCACTTCAGACAGTCTCTTATGTCCCTTTATCTTAGGTTTATCTAACACAGCCATCACATCACTGGCTGTTTGATAGTCGAGCTGAAAACTTAATCTATTAATATTTACAAGCACAGGTTTGTGGGTTTGATGAGTAGAGTTGAAGGTGAACAGGTATGCTCGAGCTGTAAGCGAGCAGCTGAGCGGTGGTGCTAATTTGCATATCCATAGATCTGCAAATACTAATCAAGGCAAAGGTGTAGAGTTACATCTAAGATATTAGACAACATGAAGGGATTTTTTTTTTCATAGAAAAAAAAAATAGAAAAACATGGAATTTCAATGAACAGAGATGAGTTGTTGGGGGTGTTAATCAATGCTCGGAATTTAAGAAATTACATACTCTACATTTGTAGCTCTGCTTGAGTTTGATTTGTCATGTCTTGGTGGTGTTAATGTGTCAGATATTTGGACAACAAGTAGGGGTACAGGATATTTGGGCTACAGGCCCACTTCATGTTTTAGACTAACAATGGCTCATTTGTGCTCAATGTTAGAGACGTTTGCGGACATGGACGGAGCCTTCTGTCCGTTTTCTGTGTTAATTTCGGCCATAATTGTGCACGTTTTCTGAAAGCTTGCGGATATGACAAAATGGACCAGTCCCACAAGAGATCGTGGGGAAAGTATAGCATAGTTTAAGTGAGATATGATTGAAGGACACGACAAAGAAAATTAAAAAATGGTGGAACAGAAAGACTCAGTGATTTAGTAAAAAGAATTCTCCATCCACATGTTGCGATGTATTTAATGGCCTCAGAGACCACAACTGTCTGCAACACTGCCTCCATTAAATGGTACATCACTAGGACCTCTTATAATGTTGCCATGTTTGTTGTCATCAGAAACTTTTGACTCTGCGGTCTACTACCATCTATTAAATGTATCTATACCAACATAAAGAACACATGAAAGTATGTTGGCAGTGACGGTTACGTTTTAATTTAAAGTATCTGCTTTCGTAAGTAAGTATAAATGAGCCTTTCGACAGTCTTCATATTTATAAAAAGGACCATGTTAACTGCCACGGGTTGACCTACGTTTGAAGTCAACGGCTATCAGATGCATGAACACTGAGCTTTACTAGAAGACTTCTCTCTTTAACTATTGATGAGAGTGTAAGTGGTCCACTTTCTCTGCTCCCTCCTCTCCCTCTCTTCCTCCTTTACTTCCTGATTGTTATTTCAGCTGGAGAAGAGCAGAGACGGCTCTCCGACTGGATGTTGTTCCCTCCACCAATATGGGTTTATGTATTATTAAACACTGCATGTGGTCTTCTACAGAAACCCACATTACGTGTGTTGTGTTTTGCGGTGAGGGGAGTGCATAAAGGCGCGGCTGAAGTTGGTGATTGCAATCCCACATTCATCATCTGTAAGAAGAACAGTCACCTTGGTCTCATAAAAATCAGCCTCAGAGGTACTGTACAAGGTTATTTTCTTTCGATCGCGAGTGGCCAATGCATAGTCGTCGAAGGACGATGTGGAAGATAGCTCACCAATTTAGGGGTGGCTTTCATTAACTGAACTCTTTTCTAAACCAAAATACCAAAGAGTTTAAATAGCAACCTTCACATCAACTGAATTAACTAATAACACTCTTGTCAAATGCATGCAGATTATGGTATTACAAATTAAACCCATCTAAGGAATCTGTGGAGCCTTAGGAGCAACTTTTATATCCCCTTCGATAATTGAAGTGGTTAGCCATTATCAAAAACAGCCCTCATCTCAATTTTTGTTTTTTTTTCTCAGCAGCTTGCGTGTTCAGTTTTTTTAACATCAACGTAGACATTATTTGTGCAAATAAACCAAACCTAAACCTAAAATATTAATTTCCATCAAGTGGACATCAGATCAGGCCTTGATAGATCACATCGTTCTATCTCAGATCTGGCTGGCCGTGGATCATTTTTATTATTACAGATGGACTCATGCCCACACTAACTGATATTACCTTTCATGGACTGAACTATGTGCCAAATCCATCCTCATCTCAAGGAAATTCAAGTCCCCTGGAGAAGGGCTGGTGCACATTACAGAGAACAATATTGCAATTCAAACTGGAAGCTTTTGGGAAACAGTCAAGATTCTTCAGATGATGGACAAAGCCAAAGCAATCAAAACTGAAGTATCAAAGAAGAGTTACACTTTAGAACTTACCCTGCATTGTTGTGCTTGTGGGCTCTGCAAAGAGTGGGATAAGCAGGAGATAGATGAGGTAGACGAAGGACAGGGCATTGTACCTGAACAGGCAAGCTGCAGAAACAAAGACACAAATGCAGATTAAACAGCAAATCCACCGTTTGATTAAAATAAACAATGGTCCGTTTAAATGCCACTTGTGAGCATTGCATAACGTTTAACAGTAAATAAAGTGCAGGAGCTGGCAGTTGTAACAAGCTGCCTGATGAGGAGTCGTCATTGAGATCAACTAAACACAGATTTGAGAGAAACATGTGCTGAAACTCATTAAAATGTTCCTGATGTAGAAAAGCTGCTCATGGTCATAAAAAGCCAGAACATTCCTCTAACCAAACTTTACACTCAGAAGCCTCATTATCTGTTTATCTGACCTGCACCACAAAAGAACCTGGGTTTAATTCAGACATGCAGGCTATTGACGGTTGTTTTAATGTACAGTAATCACCCAATAGTCCTTAGGTGTTGAAAGAAACAACTGACAGAGTTGCCTGTGGTCTGTGCTTGTTGTATCGTGCCTCATAAAAGACAGCTTTAAGATTTCGTATTGAAGGAATCTCACAGCATTTCATGAATTGTGAGCATCACTGAAACTGGATCTTTTATTTATAAAAAAGTAAACGAAACAAAATATCTCAGTGTTTTGAAACAGAGTGGTGTCACACACCAGATGTCTGTAAAATGCATAATGGACCTCTGATGTTTTTAGCAGGCAAACAACTGTTGGTTGTCAAAACATAAAATGAATCACAACAACATGCAGCATGAAGTGTGAAATGTCAGGACCGGTGTGGAATTAAGTGTTTGGTTTAAGGCATTTTTAATCGAGGCATTAAATGACCTGTAATAGCTGTAAGTATAGTGATAGTTTCACTGTAATCTATGCAATTTTTGCATTGCCTTAATTTATTAAATGTCATTTCATTGAATTTATGTCAGTGATGAATGTTAAGGATACAATGGACATCAGGCAAATGAAGGATCATGGCTAGACAGTGAAACAAACACTGTTTCCTCCCTACTTAAGTAATTGTTTAAATTGTTTTCTGACAGCGTAGACTTTACAGATCAACCAAGAAAATTACTTATTAGCAGATTAATCTATAAGGAAAATATTTGTTACACAGATAGATTGTTACAGCCCTACTCTTCAGTCAAGCCTGAATTCTAACTCCCTGTTTCAGTATTTAGGATGTGTCAGCACACGACACTAGATTATGTAACTCCACACACTTTCCCGAACAGTCCCCATACACACATGCACACACATATATACACACCCACACCCCTTCACAGCACATGAAGGAAGTCTTTTGAGCTCTTGATGAAAGTTAAATCGCCTAAGTGCAAACATGACTTCCAAAAACCATTAATTGATGTATTGATCTGTAGTGCACCTCATTTCCCAGAGTTGGACTGACCATCACCCCTGATCAGGGCTTTTACCAGTTAAACAGCTCACATTACCTGCTGACTGAACATCAATTAACGCATTCAAAATGAACCACACTGTAGCAAACACTTTCCCATTTCCCCACTGAAGCCTGTATTATATGCATGCAAACACATTTTGAGTTTGGATGATTTGGTACTTTTTACAGCTGTACAATCAGGTCAGATAATATTTTACATCACATTTACAAGCCACAGTTTTTCAGGTTCTCCTTTAGTATGTGCAAAATATGTAATAAGCCACTTCCCACACTGCATTTCTTTGAACATTTTTAGGTCAGGAGGTAGTGAGAGAGAGAAGTAAATAGTAACCTTGTACAAAATGTGGACATACAGTCTGACCTCCCAAATTTCTCTAAGCGGTTATATCAACAAGCACAAAGTTTACAACCAGGTCGTCTGCATGAGTTACCATCTAAGTCACAGAGATCAGCCCGTCTGGGCAGCTACTGGTCTTGAACTACTGAAAAATTACACTTAACTGCTGAAAATGGTGCTTTTATTTATCTTTGAGCACTCAAAGGACCTATTCATTGACATTTGACTTGGCTCTGACTTATCCCTTGCTGGAGCCCTACAGTGAGTCCTCATGGTTTTTCTCCGTGCCCAGATACAGACCAATGAAAACTAACAAAAGTTAATAAATGTTATGGGGGGCTGTCATCTTTGAGAAAACCACCAACATCTGTAGATCATGTGATAAAGTTTCAAGTATGCTCAACTGTTCAACATGCCAGACAGTCCAACCACCAATATAGCAACATAAAAAAAGCACTTCATCATTACTGTTCATCATTTTTTCATGTCCTTTTTTAAAACATTTTCATCAAGTAGGTGAGGTACTTTTTCAACCTAAGCCTCTAGGGTGAATGACTCACAATCTTCAGTTTTTGGTCTTACACCCTGTGCCATTTCTATCCACACCCACTCCATTTTATCTTCGTTAAATGTAGCATTAAATAAGCCCTAAACCTCCCCACGTTTTTAGTCCAGAGCCTGCTGCCAACATGATTCATCTGCTCAGAGTTACAAATCTGAAGAAGTCCCTTTGTATCTATACAGACAATCGATCTACATCTGCATGCTCCCACTGCTACTTGACCGCAGCCTTCCTGACCATTTGCCTTCGCTGTATGACTCACCATCTGAGGATTTTTACACAGGGAATGAAAATAAACTGCAGTTGTTTTCAGACATCAGATTACTGCAAAAACTCCCCATTCACGTCTGAATCAAGCTTTTGTCTCTCCCAGTAAAAGCTATTATTACAGCCACACAAAGCCTAAACATGGGAGAGAAGCAAAGCGGCCTTAAATGTGAAATCAAGGCCAACTGACTTCAGAGTTTGAGCCCAAAAACATAAATGTCATGATAGAAGATAAGGTGGTGTGGTGCCTGGCTTGGCCGAGCACTGGGCGATAACAGAGGAATTTAAACCCCTCTGAAGAAAATAATGAAGAGCATACCACATCAGGGCTATACCACCACTGAGCAGAGCATTACTGTTTTCATCAGAGTCTTGAAACTAAGTGGGTGATGGATGTCATATCCAGAATCCAAATACTGATTTTAACAAACAAAAACTGTTTACTGAGTCAAAAAAAAGCCTTTCAGATGACAAAGCTTTTTGGAGCTATTTCATTCAGGGCTGCAACTGACAACTATTTTTTTATTATCTATCTCTGGATTATTTTCCTGACTAAGCGCTTGGCCTATAAAATATCAACAAATTTTAAAAAATTCCGAGCCTCCAAAGTTCAAGTTGATGCTTTCATTGGCCTTATTTTGTCTGATTAGAAGTCTAAACCCAAACATGCTTAATTTACTGTCATAGAAAACTGAAAATATTTGTATTTCATAACCTGGAAGCTATGATTTGTTTTGCCATTCTTGCTTGAAAATTGAGCTAAATGATTAGATTTTTTTTTAAATGGTTGCCAATTAATTTTCTGTCTTTTGACGAATAAATAAATGAAACCTCATATTTAAACAACAAGCTCTCCATCATGGAGAGAATGTATTTCTGTACTCCTGCCCAGAAGAAATTTTATTCCAATCAGCCTGTTGGAGATCCTGCAGGTACAAATCATTTTCATATATTTTGGACCTGTCCCTTGTGGCTCAATTTCGGGCTAAAATTCACAGCATCCTGGAAACCAAAATAAATTTTAGTGTGAAGCCGATGTACCTAATTAGACTAGAGGAACTCAAATGGAGGAAAAAGGATAGCCTAAATATTTGCTGAGAATAATATTGGTGCTGCAAGAAATCTCTAAACAAGACATGGCTGAAATAAGAAATACTTAGTGTTGATGAATGGAGTGACTTAGTATTCAATATTAATGTAATAAGGAAGAAATTAATTTAAACTTGAGAACCCTAAAGGATACATGTATTGACAACTGGACAAACTGAACATCTCAAATTTTAGACCTAATTTTGCATAAACAGGAATCATAAATACATTTTAGTGTTACCACTAGTCTCCCATTGTCTATGTGTGTATATACTGATTTACTTTTTTTTTTTTTTTTTAAGCTAACATGTCTGTTTGTTAGCTAGCTAACTATCACTGGCTTGCTAGCTACTAACTAGCTATTGCTAGAATCCAGTGTGAGTAGGTGCTAGCTTATAGCCAAATAGTGTTACTAGTTAAATTAAATAAATATACTATCATGCTTACTGTGTAATGGTAAATACTATAGCTACAGTATTTACAGAAACATGGGTACAAAAGAGTCATAAAATCAACCAAAATTTGCTAACGCTGATGTTGCTAACATTAGCTAGCATAAGTAGCTAACGCTAACTGTTAAACCAGAACAAGTTAGGCTGTTTTAGCAATATCGCTAATTGAAGTGTAGCCAATGTAACTGAATTGAGTAAATGGGTGTTTTGTTGTTTTTAATTCAATTTTTTTGTAACTTATAAGAAACATTTCAGAAGTTAGTCACATTTAAGTCAGTTACTAGCTTTGTTACATTAGCATGCTAGTGTACTGCCTAGCTACCACACAGCAAAAATGAACAAACCATAGCTAGTTTAATTCTAATAAGCTACAGTTTTAGTGTTTTAGACAATTAAACTCAAAGCTGAAACAAGTTCTTCTTTATCAAACATTTACCTACAACCGTGAATTCTCCCACAGCTCTGTTTTTCATGTGTCTCTATTATACTCTGAATGTGATGTGGTTTCTCACCACTGAGTGCTTCTGTTTTTTCTTTTATTACGATTTTTCTTTGTTATTTTCTTGTGTGCACATATATGCTCCTGATTGGTTTACACACTGAACTAACATAGTAAGTTTATATGAAGCACTTTTCTGATTATTTAATGTCTGATGATGGATAAAATGAGACCTCACTACAACCTGAACACCTCTGACAGACAATATTACTGGTCTGTGTTTATAGCACCGTATTAGTCTAAGTTCTCATTTTATTAAAGGCACATTTGAGCCCTTTTTTAATGGATCTTTTATGTTAAACAATGATTTTACAGCTAAAACCAAAAGGCTTGTTTTTCTTTACATGACCTTAAGTGAATTAACTACACCTTAACTACATTTCTACCACATTGCCAGATGTAACTGCTCTGTTTCTGCTTGATTTACATACTTAAATGTTGTTTCGCTTGAACAGTTTTATTTCCTGTGTTTATATATTGAAATAGTTTGTTATCACAAGACCTCTTAATATATCCGTGCATTAGACAAGTAGAATTTCAGTGGTTTAGAAGCATTATTTTTACACAGCAACCTCTCCTCTGCAGCATCCTGATGGTGCCAACGGTCTGCCTCAACATTTGTGACACAGCACGACAAACACAGCTTGAATTTGAATTTCTTTTGTCTTATTAAGTGAAAGTTAACACCTAAAGCATTATGACTGCACTGATGCTCCAACCAGCGAAGCATTTGCACATCATCTTTAACCTCAGTTCATGCCTGTTTCTGTTTGACCCAACATCCAACCTGCAACTCTGTACATTCAAACCACTAGTTTGATATTGGATCAGACATTTGGGAAAGTGAATGCTCAAAATCATGTTCACACTCCAAACTCTGTCAGTAAACACATAAACAGCAGCCTGTTTGATCAGCAAAACTGTAGCTGTGTGCAAATGTGTGTGTGTGTGTGTGTGTGTGTGTGTGTGTGTGTGTGTGTGTGTGTGTGTTAGTTAGTGGTAGAGGGGACTGTGTACACATGGGCCCGGCAGTTTTGTGCTTCTCAATAGAGGTGCTGTCAGATGGCCAACAGGAAACACGGACTATGTAACGTCAGCAGACAAGTCTTTCACTAGGACGTGAGAGAAGAGACGGTGTGCAACATATATTACACTATTGGACATATACAGTAAGGGCAATGTAGGTGTTTCAAGTTAGATAACATCTGCAGTGCTGCGGTGTGTGTTTCCTCTCTGTTTATTCAGCACTGACAGGCCAAAAATGTACTTTTTTAATTCTGTTTTGTGTCAAACCACATGACATCAAAGCCAAAAAATCTGAAAATATGGACGAACCAAAACAGAGAAAAGACAAGATACCTAAAATCATCTTCCAGCCTCAAGTGTCCCAAATAATCAAGGAAAAAATAGCTGATGGGTTGATGGTTATTGATTTACACCAGATCAATTCAGTTTTAATTAAGATGGGATCTTTGACTGTCAAACAGAAACAATGAAGGAAAGTAAGCCGCCGATCAGGTGATGCTGATGGCAGAAATACGCCGTCTGTTCCTATACACTTTCCCCTCTTTCCACTTTACATTTCCTTCATCCTGTCAGTTACTGTGCACAGCTGCAGTGAATGACAAGTGCTCATTTGCACTTTGAAAAAACATAAAATATTAAAGGTATGTTTACGATAAAAGGGAAAGGCAATTCTTCCCTCCCTCACAGCCGCATTATTAATTCATACTGTTAAAACGACTTTCCACGAATTAATGGAGACAATGCACGGCCTCACAATTGCTTTTGGAAATAAAGGGGGCGTCGGGCTGTCAAGTGATGCATTATGGTGGTACTGAGTAGGTCTTATCTATAGAAAGCATGCTGTTAGCTTTAAAAGTACCTCAGCCCCATAAGTCTTACACAGACACCACAGTGGAACCTCAGTGGCAGTTAGACACTAATCATTTTTCACTTGCGGCCTACCACAGGATTACAGCTTAAAACACAAAGTAAACTGCATTTAATAGAGTGTGCAAGGTGTGATCATGCCTCGAGCTCAGTCTCCACAAATCAGCGTTTTAAGTGTGTGCCTTCTTCTTCAGTGAAGCTAGTAATAACCGAGACTTTCCCAGTGTGTTTAAAGCTGCTAAAAGTCACTCCTAAATCCAAACAAGCTGCCAAAGCCTTCTAAATCTGCATAGCAAAAGGGTGAATCAAAGAAAACTTTCACTAACACAGCAACAATAACTTTGTCTGTGCAGAGTGCTTTTCTTAACAAAGTTACAAATGCTGTAAACAAACCAAAAACCTCCACCGCTGACTGAAACTCTGAGGAATGTGACATAACACCAGACATGAATCTCTAACATTATCAAGGCAATTTTACATTATAGGCATTAACACTACAGGCATGTACTGAATGGCCAGTTAGCAGCTGAACAACTTACAACAAGAGTGATGATTCATTAATAGGCAATAAGCTAAACTCAGAAACCACACTAGAAACCACAGAAATTAATTTTTGATGCTTTAAAAACATGCAGTCTGATTCACTGTGTGAGCCACAGAGGTAACCTTACATTCTGTTTTTATTCTGAGCAGAATACATGAAAGGAAAGTGGTCTGTGATTTGATTAATTCAGCATTTCAAACGTGGAAAACAGATTAAAAAACACTTAATATTTCTGTTTTTTAATATCATAGATTTCTAAATATACAAACAGTGTGCAGAGTGCAGAGTCTCCGAAAGGCTGTATCTGCAGTGCCTGCTCCACGGTTATGTTTCCTTTACTAAATCCAATAAAAGGTGACAGCCAGGTGAAGAACAGCACTGGTACACCACTGCCTCTGGGTTTGTAATTCATATATAATGGCTGGCATGTGACTCTGTGCAGTCTATTGCTTTTGTTTAGGCTCAGTTTCAGAACTGGCAGACCTAAGCAGTGAATGAACTGTGACCTCCAGCATCATGAGGTCAATCACAAATCATATTAGAAATCAATTAAATGTTCACACAATCATTAATTTCATTTCCGCCCTTGAGGTTCTGCATACTCAGACACTTCAGGTGTGCAGTAGTGTATCTCAGATTTTTAATTAAAGTCACAGATTTTTATAGGAGTGTTAAAAAGTGGGCCAAGAGACACAGCGTTAAATATAAGCTACAGCCTTTGGCACTTGGAAACGTTTTGGAGACAGTAACACTACAAAGTTAAAATCCCCACAGCTCCCAAAAGGTCAAACCTAGAGGTCTGAAATGTTAAACAGGTGTGGTTGACAATATGTAGAAGGTAGAGAAGGGGTCTGCATAGTCTGTCATAAAACATGTCCTAGTTATTGTTATTCAAATATGGTTTATAATAGACGAGGAACAAAATAAAAAAAAAAACATTTTGAGCCATGTTTGATATGATGTAATTTAGTTTGTGTTTTAGCCACATGTCAAATAAGCACATTTTCAGACACTGGATGATGTTACCTTTCATATGAGGCTTCATACATGCATGGCCTTACAGTTCTGCTGTAAGGCCATGCTCCATTTGGGTATGCCAAATAGAAGAAAATCACAAAAAATGTGGATCTCAAGAGGTTAAATCTTACATTTAAGTGTAATGAACTGATGTATAGGGTAATATTAGGTAAATTACTACATAAAGTATGAACTGATCAATCACCCTCCAGCTCCCACCCCCTCTGGCGCGCACACAGCTCTATAAAAGGCCAATTAAGATGCGTAAAAAGTGTGGATTAAAGAAAGAACTCACCAGCTGCAAGACACATAGGCAGCAGTAACCTAAAAACCAGCCCGCACACCACCTCAGAGGCCATGGCTCCAGGCAGCCCGTGGTGAATCCAGGTAAAAGTAGCCGGGAATTGTCTCTCTAAGGTTTCTCTTGCATCCCAAACTCCTGCGCTCTGTCAAATCCCAGCTGACATCAAACTGGTGCGCTCCTCCAAACGGCCACATCAGCTCTCCCTGATGACACCTGGACTCCGGTGGTTATTCCACAGAGAAATATCTCGCATTTGAGGCTCACCACGGCAGGCATGTCACCAGTTAGTAATGTCACCATGATAGTTCAGCAGCTCAGATGCGTAAAAGTCATGTTGAGAGGCGGACTCAGGTGCGCAAAAAAAGGCTGCGCTGGAAAAGCCGGAGAAAGGAGCCAACAAGTCCTCAAGTCCAATTAACCCCCTTTTTATAGGACAAAATTACATCAAAGAGAAACGTTCAGCATTTAAGAAAATCTAATTTCACGTATTTACTGTGAAGTGTGTCAGGAACACTCAGAATTACCGGATAGTTCCCCTTCCCTCTTCTGTCCCCTTGGTGAAATTTGACTTTCTGACTTCTGGTGTGGATCGTATTCACCAACAGGAGGCTGCAGGACGAGTCCGTGATTGACACCTGACTCAGCCAATCAGAAGTCTTCGTTTGGGAGCCGGCCCCAGCCCCCTTTGATAATTGGAAGCAAGAGGTGGGACACACAGATGGATGCAAATACCACAAGTATTAAAAGATAAAGTGTCCCAAATCCACACCTTATTTTACTTCACACAAATACAGCGTCGTGGTTTATTATTTAATCTGCATCTTTATAAACATTAAACACGCACAATCACGTCCAGGAAGGTTTTATAAATGTCATGAGACTTTCAGTGATCATTGCACCTCCTCAGGTCTGCTGTCCAGCTGTTCATCAGTGAGAAACAGTGACGCCTACTGGTTTGAGACCAGCCTCCACAAAGCATCCACTTCAGTCTAATCCATGTTACTACAAAACAGGCCTGTCAGATTTCTCCTTGCAGGCAGGAAAACTTATTTTATTTTACCAAATATGTTTTCAGTTCTTGAAATAATTAAGAGCATTGTAGCAAAAACATTGTCTCTGATTACATTTAATCCAGTGGTATGCTTAGTAAACAGAGGTAGCATGACTCAAGCCTCAACCCCAAAAGTGCTCTGATCTGTTTGTGAATTTCCAAGACTCCCTCTCAAAATAATGGGGACATTTAAATTGATTTGCATCATTGCCATGTTAGTTGTTAGTGTCAGGTGGAATAACGTGCAGAGGTTTGATTGTTGTGACAGTTGTTGAAATGTCCTTGGGCAGGAAAGAAAGTGGATCCTTTTAAACTGTGTGGCTCCTGCTCTGCACCTGAGTCTGACCTCCAAACTTACTGCTGAAGACAACAAGAGGGCAGACAGTAAGAGACATTTCTCCTTCAGGGGACCAGTAAATAATGTTGTTACATTAAAGAAATACTTCACCCACAAAATGATGATTTATATTGCAGTTCCTTCCCCCATGTTATGCTGAATTTGTGAAGAAAACTGTTCTTGAATGCCTTAACGGTGAACAAAGAATCCAAATTCAGAGAAAATTCTTGATGAATCGGAGTAAAGAGGAGCCGCATTTAACAACAGCAAAACTTTATCAAAACACAGAGTTTACAAACTGTCGCACAACTTGTCCAGTATAAATTAAGTCTCATTTATCCAGTCGTATGCTCAGCACTTCCCAAACACATGCATTTAGTGAAAACCTCGCTACTGTACTTAAAACACTTCCTCATATAAGTAGCGAGCTTGGACAAGTGCATGCATTTGAAATAGTGCGGCTTTAGTAAAAATGCATGTGTTTGGGAAGTACTTGAGTGTACAATGAATAAATGAGTTGGATTATACTGCACAAGAGTTTGTAAATGGATGTTATGATATAGTTTTGCTGTTGTTAAATGTGGCCCCCTTTAACTTCAGTCCATCAAGAGTTTTCTCTGTTTTTGGATTCTTCATTCACAAATGAGGCGTGCAAGAAAAACAAAGTTTTCTTCATGAATTGAAGGTAACATGGGGTGAGTAATTCATACACAAATGCTCATTTTGTGGTTGAAGTATTCCTTTAAATATGGAGCTATAGGTCCAGGGGGTTATTAGCCTAGCTTAGCATAAAGACTGGAAGCAGAGAGAATCAGCTAGCCAGACTCCCTCCAAAGTTAATATGCCTACTAACACATCTAAAGCTGGATGTCTTAACAGTATTTGAATGACTATATGCATGATGCAAAGAGGATGAATCTTCATGATTTTGAGGATCCTTTAATTTTTTTTGGTAGTGCCACCCACAGGTTAAAGTTTTCACTTTTCCGGTGAAATACCTCAGCATTTACTTAAGGGATTGGGACAGAATTTTGCTCTGACGTTCATGGTCTCCAAAGGATGAATCCTAATGACATTTGTGACTCCTTGACTTTTCTTTACTCATACTAAGTGAGTTTTTTTCAAGTCCATTGTAAAATGAATCAAGACAGACGGCTGATGCAGCTTGATAGTACACTGAGAACTGTGTTAACTCACATAACATTTGCTTGAGCTTAATTCAAAAATAATGGAAAGAAGAGTCTGCCAACATACACAGAAATGTTTCAGAGTCTAAATAGGATTATTTTTTCCTCACAAATTTATTATTGGCTTCATGAGCATAAAGTCAAAGATATTTTTTTATGTTAAATTTAGTCTTTTGGGTTACACATTAATCTTCACACTTACAAAATTACCTGTTTTAAGACAAAATTCATGTTTTTGATAATCTTGACTGAAAATAATGTAAAGAAGGGAATATATATAGCTAAATACTGAAATTACTATAACTGGTTTTCTCCTTTTTCACAGATACCAACAACACGTAAAACTCCACTTAAGGTTATTTATCACAGCTATCAAAAGAAACTGCATCCAAGAACAAGTCGAGGAGCGCTGACCTCATGTTTATTTATTGTGTATACTATTGTATAAAGAGGAGCAGCCGAGTTTTGACTGGAGCATTAACACATGATTAAAACCAATCAATCATGCATGCTCTGATATGTTTAATGACTGTATTGACAAGGAAATGATCCATGCCGTTTCCTCTGAAGTGCATTAGGCAGGAGGAAAGTAAGGTATGATGGGAGTTGTCAGGGCCGAGTCAAATGACCCTTCACTACCTCCACGTGGAAAACACAGGGCACTTAAAGCAGCAAAGGTCCTGCCTGCGATGTGATGAATCACCGTTTTGGCCTAATCACTAAAATGGATTCAGTTTATGAAAATAAGAAAAATAAACAGCTAAATGTTGCTGAAGGAAAAGCTGACTTTGAGAGATCATCAACATGCTCGCTGCCAACATCTCTGCCCCGAAGCCTCACTTTTCCCTGGAAATGCAGACCGCCTGGATGCTGTGCTGCAGCGGTCATGTGGGAGCAGTCAGAGAGTCACCCACGAGGCCCTGAACTGCAGCCAGCCGTGATCAATAACCAACCTCAAAACATGGCGGCCCTTGATTTGTTTCTGCTGTTTGAAGTCCTGCTGATCTAATCCCTCAGATGGATGTGAATCTTAAGTAACATTTGTCTTTGATCCATTATTCATCCGATTCTTGAGAGGGGGTTATTGATAAATCGACTAAATGGAGACAACCGTTTTACACAGTGCACAGGTCAGTTGTTTCTGACTGACCAGCCTCACACTATAGCAGCAACAGGAATAATTTGCTCTGCTTTAAATCACATCCTTGTTCTTATGAGGACTCCACATGATCAATGCATTGAAAAGTGCATATAATTTTTGGGTACACTTGCCATGGGGCGGTTTTTGAGATACCAAGGGGTTTGGGCACCTTTTTTTTAAAAGAGATTTATCTTAAAGGTACAGTTTACCCCCAGATTAAATATACATATTTTTCCTCTTACCTGTAGTGCTATATATCGATGTAGATTGTTTTGATGTGAGACATAGTGTTGGAGGTATTGGCTGTAGAGATGTCTGCCTTCTCTCCTATATAATGGAACGAGATGGCACTCAGCTTGTGGTGCTCAAAGTGCCAAAAAAATAGTTACACATTGGTGCTATGGGTGAGCTAGCAGTAGATGGACACTTCCTTCTGCATGGTTATTCCTTGGCAGGTGTAGTTTGGTAGAAAGAAAATAGTTCCTACATAAAACTCAAGGTCACAACAAGGTCTGTGGATTATCTTGAGAAACCAGGTCATGATTTCTAGAAAGAGACATTGCTGTCGAGTTACGAAAAAACAATCAAGAGGAATAGTGTGGATCTTTGAATTTGGGATGAACTTTCCCTTTAATGCCGCAGCATACAATTATATACTCAACAGCAGTGTACCTCCAACTTTGTGGCAACAGTTTAGGGAAGTCAATTTCCTGTTTCAACATGAAAATTACAGAGTGCACAATGCCACATCCTTAAATAAATGGTTTTCCCAGTTTGGTGTGGAAAAAGTTGGCCTGCAAAGAGCCCTGACCTCAAATCCATCCAGGACCTTTGCGATGAACCTGAACTTTAACTTTGATCAGGTCTTATCACCCAACATCAGTGTTGGACCTCACTAATGCTCTTGTGGCTCTGTGGGAGCAAATCCCTGCAGCCAGGTTCCAAAATCTGGTGGAAAGCCTGAAACTAGAAGATTAGATGATGTGACAATGTCTGGATGTCTCCATACTTTTGGCCACATAGTGTACATCATGTAGTCTCACAAACCTATTTATAGCACGTGAGTAAAATTATTTGTTTTTATTATTTTTAGTAGGCTACTTAACTATAAAAGACAGTTACCTAAGATCAATGTTGATGAAATGACAGCAGACCTTTTACAGACGTGATTCTTTAAAGTTTGGAAATGATTTTTTGAGCTCAACAGTTCACACTTGACCTTAGAAACAATATTTGACAAAAAAAATCCCAACTGAAAATCAACCAGAGCTTTTAATGACATCACACAGGCCTCAACAGCAGACTGATTTTTTTTTAATTGTTCCTTTCTGTGTAGTGT